CCCCCAACAACAAGTACTAGAAATCCCACTTTATTTAAAATCCCCTTGGGGTTTGGGCGAATCAAGATACAGCCTTACCCATGTAAAACACAGAGAGAGGTTGTTTCCGTTGGAACCTGGATGCATGCTGGATTTACTACCCAAAATTTGATAGTCACTGCCATGATCTTTTAATTACGTTACCATGTCTTGTTTGTTCTTCAGTAAGGCAATATATATCTTTGAAAACGATGAACGTTATAAAGCTGTTGAACGTCCAAAGGATCGTGAGGATCTTTTTCAAGATTACATACAAGAACTTGACAAAAAGGTGAACTTCTTATCACTGGGAAAAAGAACAAAAGTATTTGTGTGTTGATTAGATTCTTTAGTTGTCATTGTAGAAACCTTTCTCGATTTGTGTCGATAATGGGTCTAGTTGGCCATGCTCTTTTAATGTTTATGAATCTGAGATGATGTGCTGTTTTAAGGTTATTTGTGGTAGGAACATGCTATTATCTCTTAGTAGTCTCATTGATTCTTGATCAGGAAAGGGCAAAGGCATTGGAAGCGAACAAGCAAAATCGAATTGATTACTTGGAATTTTTAAAATCCTGTGACTTCATTAAGGTACTGTGTCAGTTGAATATAATGCATTTGAGTGTGATTTTAAAGAATACAGTGAACTCATTGCCCATCTTGATTCTTCAGGCAAGCAGCCAATGGCGGAAGGTCCAAGATCGCTTAGAAGCTGACGAAAGGTGCTTGTGCCTGGAGAAAATTGACCGCTTGGAAATTTTTCAGGTATCACAAGATGCTTTTCTAAGGAGCAATTATATCTTTCTATTCAAGATTTATTCATGCATAAAGTTAAATAGTAATTTAAATAACTTTGGCGTATGGTAGGAGTATATTCGTGACTTAGAAAGGGAAGAGGAGGAGCAGAGGAAATTACGCATGGTAACTTTTTACCTGGTTGTTCAGTTGAGAACTTTTATCACTCATACCATTTTTTGCCTTCTATTTATCTCACCCCCAGTAAACAGGAGGAATTGAGGAAAACAGAACGTAAAAATCGTGATGAATTTCGCAAGCTGATGGAAGAGCATGTTTCTAAAGGTGCTCTCACAGCTAGAACTCACTGGCGTGATTACTGCGTGAAGGTTGGTTGCTTTTCTGACTCTTAACTCGAATCTTAAGATCCTAGAGTAGTAGTACAACAACAACCCAGTTTTGCCCTACGAGAGGAGGGTCTGGGGAGGGTGTGTGTACGCCGACCTTGCCCTTACTCGAAAGTAGGGAGGCTGTTTCCAAAGAGACCCTCGGCTCAAGCTGCAAAGATAAAAAAAAGATTGCAGGAGGTATATGAAGTAGAGAAACCGCAGATAAATTACAAAACACATAGAGGCATAGAACAAAATGAGGAGAACGACAGGAAAAAACTACAAGTAGAGAGCATCAAACATACAAGGCATATAAAACACACAATAAGTACATAAACTACAGCCTAGTCTAAAACGCCTACCCAACCACTCTTATCCTAGCTCTCCAAACACTCCTATCTAAAGCCATATCCTCTGTAAGGGCAAGAAAACCTAAGTCCTGTTTAACCACTCTTAAAAAAAGTCATAAATTATAATGATAATGGCATTCTTCATTATTGTTAATTGTTCAACTTTTAACTAAAGACTCAAATGCCAAAGCCTATTCATCTGGTCACTTTCTCCAAAACTCAAACTAAAGGAAAAGAAAGCCACAGACTGCAAACTTCAAAAGGGATGCTTTACCAGGAGACATATACTCCCTCCCCCCCCCCCCAACAAAAAAAAAACCTATTGCCTCTCTATTCAGAGGAGAGAATGGCAAAAATAAAATAGATCCAGAAATTGCAGGAGAAGGGAGATGGAGACGCGAATAGAAGTTGCAGGAGAGGATCGAATCCTGTCAAAGAGAAACACCTTTCTCTCTTTTTTTTTCTCCATTGATCTTCTCCTTCCAGATCAAATCACGTCACAACGATCTCCACCGATCCTAGTCATTTCTGATGCCAGCACCCAGCAGCGATCTGAATCGCAAAGGTGAGTAGTAATTGTACAGTCGTACAATCATACGATATTGCAATCCAGATCACAATGTTAATAACCTTATATTTATAGGGTAGTTATAAAGCCACCTCACCCTGTGATTTTGCATGAGTTCTTCTGACCTCGTCATCTGACATCCTCACCCCCATGGTTTGCCTCCCTACCTCATCCATGATTTCTGGCCTGTCCTCTGGCATAAAATAGCAATTTCAATGTTCCTATGCGTGACTATGGACCAAACACATCACACTCACACTTCGGTTATTAGCCCCCACCCCAACACACACTCACAGTCACACTTCGAAGTTTGTTTCATTTGTAGGTGAAAGACTCACTTGCATATCTTGCTGTATCATCCAACACATTGGGGTCAACAGCAAAAGATTTGTTTGAAGATGTTGTAGAGGAGCTGGAGAAGCAGGTAAATTGATAATTTGATGTGAAATTGATCAGTCTATAAATGAGCCATGCAATTAGCAATATGTTTTACAAAAAACTGTGCACACATGACATCATGTGACCCTGTTTGTGGTTTGTTTAAAATATTAGTGGTCTTGATATGATATTGATATCTATCAAGCTCATGAATATTTCTGGGGTGTTCAAGGAATTATTTCCTTTTTCCCTGTTATCTTGTCAAATTCACTTTTGAGACTTACACTAAGAAGTAAGAACCTGATAGGTTCACGTGGTTTTAATCCTGCCAAAATGATGAATTGTAGAATTAATTTCTAATGTCCCCCCTTGATCTGACCCTTCATCTTCCTTTTTAAATTACATGACTTCATTCACTTTTCACTTAACTTCAGATTCAATACAATGGTTCACTACTTGTTGGAATATTCTAGGTAGGCTGTTGGTTGTGCGATGATATAGTTCAGTTCATTGTCGTTTAATTGTTTGCTAACTGCAGTTTGTTGATGACAAGGCTCGCATAAAACATGCAATCAAAGTGCATGAGGTAGCTTTCTCTTTTAGTTTGTGTGTGTGTGTGTGCTGTGTTATTAAACAAGCTCCATTGCTACTTTATGCTAAGTTGTATGTGTATTCAGATTGCTCTGACAACAAGTTGGACATTTGAGAACTTAAAGGCTGCAATTTCAGAAGATATTAGCTCACCGCCCATATCAGACACTAACTTGAAGGTGTACTTTTTCTCTTCTGGATTTCATACGATGAAGTACATTAAACTGCCATTCCGGTAACCCCATATTACACAACCATTCGAAACATTGATTAATAAGTGGTGAGGGTTGTTCTGCAGTTGCTTTTGGGGAAAACTAGGTATGTTTTTTTTTGGGGGGGTGGGGGGGGGGGCTGACATCCTGACCGCAAGCTTTCAGAATTTAAACAGCTTTACTCAATGTCTGCAGCTAGAACTTGGTATATTTGATGCACAGATTAAGGAATTAGAAGCAGAATGTGAATTGTAACCAAATCATGAACAAACCAACACTTCCAAGTTCCATCCTCTGTTCTATAATTCTATTTTTTATTTGGATATAGGTAGGTATATAAGAGAATGAATTGGATGCTTGCCATGGTGCTAGTCGTAAAAGCTTTTTTACAAGCATAGAATATATTTTTTCCTTTCTACCTATCAAATGATGGAATAACACAGAAATATATGTTTCCATCATCTCCGATGGAGACAAAATTTCATTATTTTTTGGCTTTGGGGTGTCATGGAATAAAGCAAAATGGATCTCTAAACTGTATGCGCTTCTTTAGTTAGTGATGTAGCAGTTAGTCAATCAATGCACTTCTCGACGTTGAGCCGGGGGTCTATCTGGAAACAGCTTCTCTACTTTCAAGTAGGGGTAAGATCTGCGTATACACACCCTCTTAGGCCCTACTCTTTGTAGGATTTAACTGGGTTGTTGTACCTATCAAATGATGATGATGATGATCATAATAGTAACAGCAAGAACAACAATAATGATGATAATAATAATTCCTAGGTGGCTAGGTGCCCCCCTTTTCCCTTGGAAACATCCTCTCTACTTTTGAGTAGGGGTAAGGTCTGCGTACACACCCTCCGAGACCCTACTCTTGTGAGATTGTATTGGGTTGTTGCTGTGCTTCCTTTTTTCAGATCCTTTATATTTAACTTCAGTTTTGTTCAATTTTGTTTATTACATTTCTCAATCTGATGTTCATACAACTGTTAAAAGTTTGTTTTTGAAGAATTACTGGAAAGGGCTAGAGAAAAAGAAGAAAAAGAAGCTAAAAGACTGAAACGTCTTGCAGATGATTTCTATGAGCTTTTAAGTGTTTCCAAGGTGCTTAAGCAGTCTTACATCATCACTTCTCAATGTTCCTACCTTATTTTTGGAGGTTGATCTAATTATGACATTCCATTTATTAGGAAATCACTGCATCGTCAAGATGGGAGGACTGCAAACCATTTCTTGAAGACAGGCAAGACAGCTGATTTTGCATATTTCTTATTACTCTGTACTATGTTAGAATTTAACAACTATACTCCATGACAGTGTTAACTTCCTTGGGGAGTGAAGGGTCAAGGTCTGCACAATCTTATCCCTGTAAAAACAGAGAGGCTTTTTAATGTTGTTGCATTATCAAAACTTCATAGAAAACAAGAAGCAAGGGAAGATTAATTTGCCATTTTCGATCTAGTCCATTATTTACCTGAAGCTAAAAATTCTTAAATATTTGCCAAAAATGACTCTTTTAGCTCCATTGCAATGGATGATCTATGTTGGAATTGTAAATAGTACTAATTGAGATCATCTAGACTCCCTTAATGGGCTTAACTATCGTTCTCAGTTATTTGGCTTTCCCTATGCACATTGGCCCATTGATTGGAATTGTTTGTCAGTCTGATATTTTTAAACATGAAATGCCCCTTCTGAAATAATTTTATATTTTTGCATTCAGATTTTCATGTTTTCGTACATAAAATCTAACTCTCCCTGTTAATGGATGCATGCAATCAGGAAGATGAGTGAAGAGGGCTTTTTGCGAGATATATTTGATAAATTTGTTGCTGGCCTGAAAGAAAAGGCAAAAGAGAAGGAAAGAAAGCGAAGGGAAGAGAAGGTATTAGGTCCATTTGACCATGCATGTTTTCTGATGCTTTGATGGGACAAACCTTAGAATGGAATACTTGCAATTTTTATTTTATTTTCCTCTTTATTTTTCTTTCCATGTTTGATTCAATAAAAACCAGGCATTCATGGTCACAGTCCATTACGGCATTGTTTGGGAACTGAAGCCTTAAAAAGACAACACAATGTGAAATTAGTTTTCGGTTTTGCAGGCCAGGAAGGAAAAGGGAAATGAAAGGAAGGGGAGGGAGAAAGAAAAACATAGAAGGGATAAAGACAGAGAAGATGAAAGCAGGTGTAGGAAAAAAAGGGGCAGGAAGGAGACTACAGACAGCGATGATAAAACTGAGTCATACAGTTATGAAAACAACCGAAGATATGAAAGCGAGAGAGGAAGGAAACACAGAGAGCGGCAGCATTCACGTTCCATTGATGAAGGTGAAAGTGAGAAGGGTGGTCAATCAAGGGGTACTCACCAAAACAATAATCGTGATCACAAGAAGTCAAAGCAGGTGTGTGATTTCTTCTCTCTCTCTCTCTCTCTCTCTCTCTCTCTCTATGAAGACTCCATTGAATTGTTCTTGTTAAAGATTAGGGGAAAGATTCAAGGAATGCTATGAATTGACAAAAATGAACTTTAAGCGAGGATGTATAATGATGTATTAGCCACCTTTCTGTCATTTTCTTGAAGGGTGATGCTAGTCTTCACTGAAAATTTCTTTTGAAACTCTCTTCGCATATCTTTATGGGTAGGTAAGAAAATATGAGGGAAGGACAGGAATATAAACAAAGTGTTGGGAAAATAAACGTCAGACTAGAACTCATTAACTTTTTTATGATTCCGGTCTCCCCTGAACATTTCCTTCGAGACTTTCTTTTCCCATGTCTTTAGGGTAAAAAAATACTCCGTATGTGGGAAGGACAGGAAATGTTGAATAAAACAAAGTGTTGGGAAAATAACTCATTAACTTTTTTGGACACCTGTTTATAGTTATACTAATTTTATTTATTCATAGTAATTAATAATGAGTAAAAAATCTATTTTTAAATACAAAAAAATCACATTTCCACGTCATTGCGTTATCTGGGATCCAAAACCTTACTCTTCTTGTTTTCAAGCAGTAGCTTTATTTTTTGTTAGATGTGAAAGTAGACATTACATATGCGGGCAATTTGATAGGAGTCCGTGGAGCACCATGGATGGGCATCTGAAACAAAACCTGATGGTCACCACAAGAAATACATGAGAGATTACCGGAGGAGCGGCGGCAGCCATCATAGAAATGTGGACGGCGAGGATGGGGAGGTTCGGTAAAATTCTGTTTTTACTTTCCCAACTTGTCAATTCTGAATCTCGGATAGATTTGTATTATTTGGGAAATTCATATGCAGGGATTAACTGTAAAATGTGTGTATTTCGCAATAAAAAAACTTTGGTTGCTTTGAAATTTAAAATAGAAAAGGAGTTTCTAGGAAGGGGACGGTGGTCTCGAGGTTAGGGACTAATCAAGCATGTTCTCTGTATTACTTATTCTTATTGGAATTAGTTCAATTCATATCAAATCAGATTAGATAAGATCAGATAAAAAATAATTTTAAATATATCTACATCTAGACTAGATCAGATTAGAACTTATTTTAATAAGATCAAAATCATTCGGATCAAGAGCTCTAAACTTTAGGCGGGTGGCTGTAAATAAATATGTTTACATGTGACTTGAACTCGTATTTAATTTTGGCTTAAAGACATATCTCATCGTCTCATTTATAACTACCCAAAAGAAAAGTGCTGTAGTTTATAATCCCTCCGTCCCAATTTAAATCGCCTGTTTTGATTTTTGGGCATATTTAAAGAAAATAAAAAATAGAGTTGATTTTTCGAAATTGTCATTACTTTTTAGAAGGGGTGATGATGAATGAGAAGATAAGGTGAAGAAGAGTGACTTATTTTAGAGGTAGTTTAGCTATTTTATTTTTAAAAGTTTACGAAAACAACTAACAGGCAACTTAGTTTGGGACGGAGAAAAAAGACAAACATGCAATTTAAAATGGGACGGAGGGAGTAACATTTTTCTCCTAACCGTTTAATTTTAAAAGGATGAGCCCCATCCCAGGGCGCTTAAGACCCAATTGAACGTTCACTGAGAGAAGGTAAATTAGACTTTAATTATAAATTGATGACAAAGAGTGATCGTATAATTTTAAGTTTTATTGTAATTGTGGTGGGTCAATTCTGGAATCTATTTATACGACTCTTTTGGCTCAGAACAAGAATATCACAGGGGCTTCGGAGGTGATTTTAGTATCTATAACATATCTATTTGCACTCTACAAGCCTCCACAAATCAAGGAACGACTAATGCTCCAATGAAGGTAGCAGCCACAAAAAAAAAAAAGGAAAACAAATAATCCAAGAAAGTTGAAATTGCAAACGAACAAGAGAAATGGGCCAAATTATGGCCTAATAGAAAATGTACAGTTAGAATTCAGTTCGTTCCAAATTTATTTACTCTTCAAAAAATGTGTGAAATTTTATATTTTTAAAAATGATTTTATTTATAAATTGTTCTAGAAATCAAAAGTATAAATTATAAATTTAAAAGTATATTAAAAGTTGTAAATAAAAAGATGCGACAAGAATATTTCATTTTATTAAATGACCAATGAAAATACATGGATTATCGAAGAATTTGAGATTTGAATATATTTTGAGCTATCTAAATAAGAAAAGGGTGAAACTCTTTATACAATGGGAGAGTACAGATGTAATAGGGAGGATAGTAGCTATTATTAATACTCGTATCCAATGAAGATGCTTTGTCCGTCGTAATACACGTATGAATAGAATAAGGAATGAAGATATGAGTTAAACTTAGAGCGACACTAATTGTAGAAAAGGTGGGGGTAAGATGTCTTAAATTGTTTGAACCTGTGGGGAGTAGACCAATATAGAGCATCTTGTGAGAATGATTGATCACAAGGTGAATAGACATGTAGCTAGAAGAAGAGGTAAACTTAAGAGCACTTCACAACAAATATGATACTTGATAAAGTCCAATCGTATTGTTTGATCCATGTAGTCGATCCCACCTAGTGGGATAAGGTTTCATTTGTCATAAAAAGTTTATATTTCTTTTTTTCTTTGTCCAAAAAAAGGTTTGCTTTTTACTTTTAGAAAAAAAAGGTCATTATAATTTCTCCCATCTTGGGGTTATTTTTACCCACATAATTTTAATTTTTTAATCTTCATGCTAAGTCAATAGTGGAATATTTTTTCCGGAAAGGATTATATATTTTTGCGTTCTTGAGTTTTTAACAATAATGCTTTTGCTTATACAATGGGAGAGTTTTTAACAATAATGCTTTTGCGTTCTTGTTATTGCTATAATTAAAATTTTTATTTCAAAGTTATTGTAACATTAAATATGAATCAAAATAAATTTAAAAAAAAGAAAATATAGTACTAGTAAATCCAGTAGACAACCCCAAGCTTGTCTTTACGAGCGATGACTGTAAATTTAACAATTGTCATATATCTCCCCACAAAAAGGTGAAATACTTTATTTAGATCCCTCATAATATTATTTGGAAATCATATAATATGAAAAACGTATTCAAATTATGGTCGAGGAAGAGGCAAAGTATGATCGAGTTCGTATATGTTACAGCCGGCTGTACAAGTAAGGTAAAACTGACCCATTTAACAACTAAAAACAAAGTCTGTTAGCCCATATTACCTGTCCAATTCCAAATTTTGCCTAGAAATCATTCTCCAGTGCAGTGAAGCACGAGATTCTAGAGATTATAGAGAGCCGCAATCTTCTCTAACTGGCAGTCTCTAATTCATATATCCCCCAATTCAAATCTAAATTTGTAACCAGAATCAAAGTGTTCACATTTACACACAACTTCACTCTGGAAGAAGGAAAATTGAAAGTTGCCGAAGACAGAAGATTGCAAATACCGAAGATGAACATGTTGGGACTATTTCCCAAAATTGTCTAGCCCAAGTTATTTTTTCAAGTTTTCCAGGTGCATGAATTAGCATTTGGAAAAAGAAATGTGGTGATTGGAATTATTACATTTGGGAGGCTGTTCATTTGTCTTAGGTGGCCGTTTGGGATTTAACTTAATGCTTTTGCTTTTATAGTTAAAGCCTTGCATAGGCTTTGGTAAAAGGGGAGGGGCTCGTACGAGCAAGAGAAAAAAAACTTCTAATAACCTTGTGTGTTCTTTTAAGAGAGAAGTTGTACAACTTGTTTATTCATACAATATTTTAGGGGTCTCTAAAGAGTCCTAGTGGATTATTGGTGGAGTTTTACCAATTGTATTAGGGGATTTAGAGGGGTTTTTCTTTGTACCAGAATATTGTATGTGGGTCTAGGATTGGTGTTGTAATCCTTGACGGTTAAGTTGTACTTGCACTATTTTTATAGTGGTGATTTTACCTCTGTAACGAGGGTTTTACCGGTTTCAATAATCTTTGGTCTCATCTCTGTTTTTTTTGCTTGCGGTTTCTTTGTTCTTAGACTACTAGTTTGTTCCTTTCGTTGCGTGGGAAGATTTGTGCTAAATTTCCCAACAAAGTGGTATCATAGCCTGGTTTGGTTGTGGTGATTATAGTGGTCATTGACGATGTGGAGTTCAGGTTTGGGGTCTCAATTTTCCGTGCCGAAGTTTGCTGGAAAGAGTAGCTTCACTCTTTGGCAAAGAAGAATGAAGGATCTCCTTGTGCATTTGGATTTGTCTAGAGCCTTGAAAGGAGATGAAGGCAAGCCAGAGTCTATGAGCGCCGGTGATTGGGAGGAGTTGTGCGAAAGGTGTGTTAGTACCATCTGGTTGTGTATTGCAGATTTCGTTGTCAATTGTGTTATTGACGAAGAGTCTCTGACAGCAATATGGGAGAAGTTGGAAAAGCTCTATATGGCAAAGAGCTTGACCAACAAGCTTGTTTTGAAGCGGAGGTTGTATCGGTTGCGGATTGAGGATGATGATACCTTGGTTGGGCACATGAATGTGTTCAACGGATTGATAGACGAGTTGAAGCGGATCGATGTGAAAATCGATGAGGGCAGGAGTTGCTTCTTCTTAACTCTCTACCAGAAACTTATGAGACTTATGTGGATACCACCGTTACTTATTATTATATATATATATATTTAAAATAAGAATAGTATTTAGTAAAGAATAATTAGTTCTTTTTATATAAAAATCATACTTAGATCACTAAGTATATATTTAAAAAAACATGTATTTAAAATATATATATATATATATATATATATATATATATATATATATATATATATATATATATATATATATATATTGGTTCCGGTGAGAATACGATCTAGTGAAAGAAATAAGAATAAATCTAAGCTCTTAGATTTGAGATCCTATCCGATTTCTTATAGGGTTATATTTGGGATATTATAAAACAATATTCTCTCTCTCAAATCTCGATTGGATGAAGACACGAAATCAGCCCCAATTTACGGTATCCTTTTTCGTCTTCCAGCCACGGAATTGATAGGAAAGGGATGGCGCTCTCACTTCTCTCCATCCGTCGTCGCAGCGGTGTGATCTCCCGCCGATTGAATTTCACTGAGACCTCAGATTTCAATCTGATAATGCCCGGTAATTCCATTGGTGCAAAATTCATAGTTGCGAAGATGACCCTAGAATCGCTGATCTATAATAGGTTTATGGGGGAGGTGCAGCGGTGCGATGCCATCAAGTGCTGCACTTTTTGAGTGCGATGACCCTAGTATCCCCACCAGTGCTGCACTTTTTGAGTTTGAACCCAAAAAATTCTTTTCCAAGTAGGAGAAATATATACTAAGATGGATCTACAACTTAATTAGGCAATTTTTTATTTTTATCGTCTGCATCACAAATTCCATTTTGATATTCTATTTTGGGGGTTTCAATTCTTAATCAGGTATGTTTGATTTGCTATTATGTGAATATTTAATTCCTTGTTTTGGCGGTGGACGGCAAGGAGAACCACTTCCTTCAGAAAATTGGGCTATACAAATATAGAGTATAGAGTATCATTTTTATATCCGTGCAATGCATTTTGTGGTGTTCATTCTGCACATATTCAGATATTCTCCAACTGTTTTATTCATGTGATGATGTGTTTTATTCATGTGATGATGTCATTATTGTTATCCTAAGAGAGGTGTTCTTATTATAAGTGGAGGATTAAGAATACCATGCAAAGAAGCCTCGTTAAATCTAGTGGATAAATTCTAAACGTCCAACGATGTTTTTTGCCTGGAACTTTTTTCTTTTTCCTTTTTTACTTTTCTTAACTTTGTTTTTGTTATAGTGCATTATCAGAATCAAGGTAATGCATTTTTATGAGAATGTTTTGCATTATCAAAATCACGGTAATACATTTTTATGAGAGTGCCGTACAAAACAAGGTAAACGATAATGCATTTTTCTTTTGTTACTATGCATTCTTATTATCAAAGTTGATGCAGCTTATGTTGAAATCCTTCTGACACAAATATGATGCACTTGTATATTCTAGATAGCAAATTTTCTACAAATGATAATGTTTTTAAAGTATTTTGAGTTAATATGTATATGGGTTAGAAACATATTGAATGATGCAATTTTAAAAGATTAAAATGTATATTTAATATGTCCAAGTGTAAGATGAGTCTTTTTCAAAAAAATTATTGTAGCCTATTAGCTCAAATGGTAGAGCGATATATATTATGGATGTGGGTTCGAATCCCACATAGGCAGATTCTTTTTCAAATCTGGATTTCACTTGTTCTAAATACAACGCATTCTCAAGCTTTCTCATCACATTCAAAGTTAATCAAGAGTAATTATTCACCCATCCACAAGGATAAATCAACAGTGCATACATAATTTACAATATGGATTGCATCTATATTTTAAAATGGTGCATACAAATAAAGATATTATCACACGAGGAAAACTAATTTATAAAAAAAGGTTAAAAAAGTGATGAAAAATAAAAAGGTGTGATTGAATAGTATTTAGAAAAAAAGAGGAAAATTATAGACCACATATTGTTTGCTTTAAGAATAATAATGAAAATAAATAAATTTGTTGAATCGTGAGAAATGTATTAAAATAAAGTAAAATAGAAATAAAATATTACAAAGTGTTCAATTGTTAAAATTATTCATTTTTTATTTTTATAAAAGAAAAATGGTTCATAAATTAAAAAAGAGAAAAAAAAAGAAATCATTGATATGACAACTATTCATGAGTGTATGATTTAAAAAAAAATATGATTAATATGACAATTGACCACCATTAATATGACAACTCCTATAATCACGGCTGAGAAATGGAACTTGATGCGCATCACTCTTCCGTTTGTGTCAAACTTACAAAAATGCCCCTAGCACGTGTTTTGTTCCTAAATTGATGGCATGAAAAAGTATTTACCATATTAATTAGTGAATGATGCCCGTTTTTAGATCAAATTTAGGCCGTTAGATTTACAATATCAATGTCTATCATTTATTCTCATTTCTTTCACCAAGAATCATTCTCACTTGAATATATATATATATATATATATACCTTTTATTATACTACTTTATCAAGTTAATATATAATTAGACTAGAAGAATATTAGTATAATCCACATAAAAATTTAAGACAAATAAAGAATCATTAATTCTTTATATATACAAATGATACTTAGATCACTAAGAAATTAACATATGCCATATTTATCCGACTTTTTAAAACACCTAATATATCTAAATTATAAACTTCTCTCATTAATAAAAAAATTGTTAGAATACTCTCTAGAACAAAGCATCCATACATAACTATTGGTGGGATGTCACCAATAAGAAGGACAACCTCTGGGTGAAATGGATACATGAACGCTATATGAAAGGGGAGGTGGAGAACTATAAGACAAGGGGTGATTGTTGTTTCTATTGGAAGAAAATTATCCAAAACAAAAAGTGGTTTGAAAAAAACATGTTACCAAGGAGTACGCCACAGAGAAGGGGTACACATGGTCTGGGCAGGAAAACAAAATCAGTCTTGGTTCCTTTTATATGGAATAAACTAACAGCCCCAAAACATCTTTCTAATTTGGCTAATCTGTAATGGAAGGCTGAGGACAAAGGATAGGCTAAGCAGATATGTTGATATTGATAAAACCTGCTCATTATGTAGGATTGAAGAGGAAATTAAAATAATAACCACGTACTTGTTTTGTAAATGCCCTTTTACTACAAACCTGATGGAGAAAATGTCAGAATGGATTAGGCTCAAAATCAGTGGGGGAGTGCAGAAGAATGCTGCTACATGCTACTCGATTCGGAAGACAAAGAACAAGATCATCCATTCCCAGCCTGTGCTACCAGAGGAAGAAATATTTCTGCAAATCCGAAAAACATATAGAAGCCTACTAAAGGAAAACTTGATCTGCTTCAGGAAGTATATAGAGTTTTAAATTCCTATGCTTTGTTAGTAATGGAGTTGTAAAAGTCTAAAAGATCTGATTATGATGATCATATAAAAGCTTGTGCATTTTGTTAAAAAAATTAGAATAATAAATAAAATATTCAATTCACATAGAAATAAATTTTATATTTCTTCATAAGTTTACATGAGATTAATTTGATTAAATTTACTTAAAATTTGACAACTAATAATAGAATATTTTTTCACATATAAATAAATTTCATATTTTTTTATACTTAATATGCCACCAAATTAAGTATAAGGTTAAGCGTTGAAAGTTGTGAAAAATTATTTTCAGCGCAACTGTAGTATTAGAAAATAAAGCCTTGAAGAAAGTTTACATGCAAAATATAATTAAATGAACTACATTCCGTATATCATTTCATGTAGGATTACTCTTGAAGTTTCAAAGAATATAATTTTCAATACCTTATGTTTCGTTATGACTTATGTTCATATAAAAAACAGTTAATGTCAAACATTGACATTAATAATATTATTTTTGCCAAATCGGTATTCACTTATTGTTAAATTTATATTATTATTTCACAAGTGAGAGTAAAAGTAAAGTTGAAATTACGGAGTATTAGTTTTGCATGTCTTTGGTAATCTTTATAACTTCACAAAAAAATTGTAAACCTCAACATTTTTCAAAATATTCTAATTTAAATAAGACTTTGAAATGTTAATTTTTAATTGTATATAATAAAATTTTCATTAGCAAATTCTATATGTTTTATGTTGTTTGATATTTAAAAAATTTTGTCACAATGAAAAATAACAAAAACAAAAAAAAATTATTCCACCCTGTGCATTACACGGGTCAAAAAACTAGTATATATAAAAAGCTGAGCGACTTAATTTTGGTGACGACACGTGTTATGCCACATATAGTTCATGTGACACATGTCATGCCACGTGGGAATATTAAATTTCATATTAAATATTCATTATTTTATTATAGTTTATAAACGTTTCATCTCCTAACCTTTTGACTTTCTCACTAAAATAATTGCTAACTTTATGACATTTTCATTATTGTAACATACTTTATATAAAGGTTATGTTTATAAAAATAAAATAACTAATACATTTTAATATTAAATCTATTCACAATTTCCTTTATTTCAAAAAATAAAGTTATGGATTATTGAAATATTCATCATTTTCTATTTTACTAATTTTCAATATCTAAGAAGAGTTCAAAACCCTACCTAAACAATAAAAAAAGAAAAATAATGCATCTACATTAAAGCGAAAAAAACAAATAATACATCTATATTAAAATTAAAAATACACTTCTATTAAAAATGATGTATCTTATAACAATAAAAAATAATATCGCATATTATAAATTTATTAAATTAAATAACTAAAATAAATAAACTATATTAGTAGAATGTCAAAAATTTAGAATGTATGCGAGCTCGTGTGAAGCACGGGGTTAACTCTAGTTTTATATACTCCCTCCGTCCCTCAATATTTATCCAGTATTCCTTTTTGGACTATCCCTCAGTATTTTTCCACTTTCCTTATATGGAAAAGAAAATTAAATGAAATGTCCACTATACCCCTCACTTTACTTGTTACTTTCAACTCCCCTCATCTTCAATCCCCCATCTTCTTCCTCTCTCATCTCTTCATCTCCTCCGTTTCCCCCCCTCTTCATCTTCAGTTCCAATTTCTCTCCTTTTTTACCTTCAATTTTTAATTTATCTTCTTCTTCGTCTCTCTCTCTCTCAACTGTGACAACACACACAACCTTCCAAGTCAATCGATAATGCCAGATGGATATTATTTCTTTGCAGATGAGATGAAGATGGACGATGATTAGATGTTATTGATCGCCGTATGTGGAAGAAACATGGATTCATTTTCAAGATCTAAAATTTAGATCTAAAATGTATTTCCTCGGTTTGTTTTTTTTTTTCCAGAATTGATGTGGGTTGTTGGTGGAGAGCTGGAATATAGTGGATTAATCTTGGAGGTCGTTTGGATAACACAGAAGACATTAGGGATTTGGCATGGGTGATGGTGTTGGTCTGTTACTAGTGAAACAGACAATGGTTAAGTCCTAAGGGTATTTGTGTCATTAGACATCTTGTATTGGTTATTGTGCCACATTAAAAGTGGACAAAAACTAAGGAACGGAGGGAGTATTTTCTGTTTTTTATTTTCTTTTCTTAATCCTCATTTTTTTAAACGATCCAAAAAAGTTTTTCTTTTTTATTTTTGAGAATAAAATATGAAAATGTTTTAGCTAATATAGACGAAGTATAATTTTTTTGAAAACAAGTATAAGTTTATACTTTTAAAGCAAAAAATAAGTTTTGAAATGGTGAGAGGGGTTCTTATGTAACGTATTATAAACATAAGCATATTAAAAATCGCAAATTATATTATACATTCGGCTCTACCTAGAGAAAAAAAAGAAATCGGCGAAGAAAGAGGCTAGCCGGTCGGAAGTTTGCTAGAAGCAGTGCAGATTTGTGATGATGTGCGGATCGATGATGATGATGATCGATGATGATGTACGGATATGTTCTTTGCGTTTGTATCGATTCTTAGGGTTTTGCCTATTGATGATGCGGTGATGATGATGAAGGTGGTATGTGGTTGAAGAATGAGTACTAGGCTATGTGGGGATGAGTACTACTACGTTTTAGAATGTGTATTACGTTATTCGCAAAGAATAATGTATAAATGTGTAAAATTGAGTATTACGTTTTTTCAGTGTAACACGATTTTCAAAATGAATGCTTATGTTAATGCGAGAATGATACTAATTACTTCAGGCTGATTACTACCCAGATATTAGTATCTCTAGGTACATCCTAGAAATGCTACAAATTTTTTAAAACATAGAAATACTGCATTTGAGCCATTTGGCCTCAACACAACCAACCAATCAACCGTACTTCAAATTGACATATCGGTCGTTTTCCCCGGATAGAAACAACTCATCATAACACTCCACGTTGCAATACCGTTGGGCCCGCCGGCATACCCCTTCTTCCACACGCAAAATGGACTCGACGGATCCCTTCAATTTTCCCGCAAATTGGATGATTCGCAGCCAGCGCATATCTCTTCTCGTGTCTATTTCCGACTCCAAAGCTCTGGAAACTCTCAAAGCAACTCTCGCGTCATTTAGGGTTTCGGAAATTTCTTATTTCATCCGAGTGTCAATCTTTTATTTAAGATTTGATTGGGATTTCGATCATATTCTTGCTACGCGTTTCGGATTCTCCCTTTAATCCCAGGTAATTCCATCTATTATTCAAATATCCATCTACCTACACCTGGGATCCATGATATTTGTATATGGTAGTCTTTTTCTCACAGCAAACTTATAAAAACAGTAATAATACTCCGTAGTACTTCTTAATAATAATAATAATAATAATAAAAATAATAATAATAATAATAATAATAATAATAATAATAATAATAATAGTAACCTTACTTTTTTGATCAGATAATAACCTTACTTATTAATCTGATCTTGAGAAACCTTTCTTTGTTTTGGCCACACAATTGAAGTCAATGAAGGAACGATAATTGCACTTCTAGGAAGGATAAACATCATGCTTGAGTCATTTGTTTGCTTATGCATGTAACGCCCTCCATTGTAGTGTTTAAACATTATGATCTTTGCTTGATTTTTTTTACCCATAAGAAAGAGAAAACTATTTGTTCGTATTGATACTCTGGCATATCCTTATTGGCATTCTGTTGGAATTGCTAAGAAATTTTTTAAAGGAATTGGTGTTGAGGTTGGGTTTTTATCATCTAATTCGAATAGAATAAGTTGAAGAGAACAAGCTTTTTATCATAGTGACATAATATTTTGGTTCAAGATTAACTCAAACTAAATTTAATGCAACTTATAACAATTTACAAGGCAAAAACTTACTTGAGTGTAAACAAAAATACATCATCAAAGAAAACAAAAAAGTTGCATTTGACTTTCCAATATTACCTATGTTTTTCCCAACTCCATCTTTGCATTCATTTTCATGCAAAAACATCACACAATATTGTAAATCAGGAAGTAAAGCACTTTGAGGGTAAAAGTGGAAAGTTTCATGTACTGACATTTCAATGTATACCATGGAAATCAATAAAATTAGGGTATTTTGTGAGTTCCTCATGTTTAGTTTTCCTTTTTATGGATACAAGCAGGAGAATAATTAGAGGCTTTTCATGAATCATGCGTTGTTTTGGATTTTTTTCATTTGCAGCTGTTGTGTCTCTAAAGGTGCTGTATTCAATATGTCCGTTTAACTTTATCACACCTCAAGCATTCAATGGATGCCCACTACGGCACTACATACCACCATTTTTGGCAATAAAGTTTGTTGCGATTACTGATAGAAAATTGCATAAAGATGATATTATCTGCACTCTTGACTTCTGCTGGAATCAACACGGCAGTGTGTGTGGTGTGTTTCTGTTTGTATTCAGTTTTAAGGAAACAACAAAGCCTCTTTAACGTGTACTTTGGTGAACGGATTGCTCATACACAATCAAAACATTATGATCCTTCTTGTGGCTTTGAACGATTTGTTCCTTCTCCTAGTTGGATAGTTAGGGCATGGGAGACATCTGATGCTGAAATATCTTCTATTGGGGGCTTGGATGCTCTGGTCTTTGTACGAACAATTGTTTTCAGGTGATTATATCCTGCTTTGCATGAGTTTTGAGTTTCTTCTTGCACATCTGATCTGCAGTTCTTAGGCTCTTCTATTTTGTAGTTTTGTTGAAACATCAAGACATTCTCTAGTGAATTGAGACCATACTTACCTATTTCCAGAAAATGAAACTATCTGAACTAAAAATATAGGATGAAGAAAAAACGATTTGAAATACTTATTTTTTTAAAAGGGTAAAATTAGACACTATTTCAGAACTCAGATAGAAAGCTACTACCAATAAGGAAATACGGACTATATTTTTAGCTTCTGGTTTAAAATGCCTAATTTGATTTGGGGGGGGGGGGGTTGAAAAAAGCCATATTTTGGTTCATTAGTTTGATAATCACCTTTTATACTTGTTGTTTGTTGAAAGTACTAAAATAAAGATTGGATGTTGTAATGGTAGATTGGTATTTCTAGTACTCATGATAATAAACATCATATCATTCAAGTTTTCTTTTCTACCTTTGAACTGAGATTACCTTTTGCAACTTCATTTTGTAGTCTCCGAATATTCTCCATTGCTGCTATTATGTGCCTTTTTGTTGTGCTACCGCTTAACTACTATGGGCAAGAAGGGCAGCATGCACGGTTTCATTCAGAGACATTGGAGCATTTTACTATTGAAAATGTCAAGGAAAAGTCAGAATGGTATGCAATTGTAAAAACTTACCTTCTTACTGTGCTTATTATGGAATCTTCATTTTTTCTTATCCTTCACGTGCACACACATTTATGCTTGTCATGTAAATATATGGCTTTTCGAAATGAACGAAAGAGAACTTGAGAAGAGTTCTTCTAACATGATAGTGATGTACTTCAACTGGGGTCTTATCATGTAGATAATAAATTGGTGGATTTTCGGAGGACATATGGGTAGTGACAAAATTGGAGAGTGTGATATGAGTGTATGATGAGTTCTTTTCGGTATTGATATGATGCAGAATAGTGGTATATCAAGAGAGAAGGATAGGTTTAGAAGTGATCGGATAAAATCCAAATTAGTGTTAAGTGATATGCTCACTCTTATCTTAACTTGGAGCCAAATTAACACTAAAGGATATACACACGTTTTGATTAATTTGAGGTTAAGTCTAGAATTTAGTTAAGATAACTAGAACCTTAACTCACACTTAAGAGAACCACTCTTAAGATATAGGAATAGGAATTTGGCCAAAATAGCATCACATTAATTTAAGAATTACTCAAAGAGTAAAACAGGTTTTTTTCTCTCATTAAATTCAAGCTTTGAAATACAAGGCTATATGGCTGAACTTATATAGGCCTAAGTACACAAACATCATAATGATTAAGTATAGAAAAACTAGTAAAGCAAATGGTGGGCTAAACCTTAACTAATACACGCCACTTTGTAGACTAAATATCACATGGGGATATTAGCTCATTATTTTAAAAAAATACAAAGAGAATATTGAACACTTTTGACCTAAATGGCACACCACTCTTAGCTGATATTTGTGTGGATATAAAAGCTAATTATTTGATAAAGACAATAACTTGCTTTGATGAGAGAATTATTTGGAGGACTTGAAGGCTTAAAATTGTTGGAGAGCAAGGAATATTAATGGAAAAAACATGGCTATCTCACTCTCTCAAAAGATGATGAAGTGGGATGATATATGCCTTCAATATTTAAAAAATGTAACCACTTGGTAGTTGTAACTGCTAAGGATTCGAATCCTAAAGAGGGGAACTCGAAATATATATTTATAATAAATCATATATGTCGAAATTATAATAGAAACATAGTACAATCTTCGAACATTTTATTATAACATAGGACAAACATATAAGATTATTAAAAATGAATTAACAAGAAAAAATGATATAAACAACAAAAAAGTAATGAACATTAAAGCTATAATACTATAGCAGAAAAATGGAATTAACATAAACTATAGAATAAAACAAAGAAATTATACTCCATCTATAATAAACAGCCCACTTGACACGAAGTTTAAGGAATACGTTGAAAAGTGAAAATTGTAGGGTTCGAAGATTGTACTATGTTATACATATGTCGCCATATAATTGCTTCGGCGGCAAACTAACTGATTAGGCGATGTGAAAATCTGCAAGTGCTTTGCCCCCAATTTCAGAATATTGTCAACTATTAGTAGAATTCAATACATTCATTGCAAATATTAATTCTTGTGCTGTTTCTTTATCTCCCATTCTCTATCATTTTGTACTGCAGTGTGTGTCTTTTGATTGTTTTTACTTTTTCTTGTCAGGCTTTGGGCACACTGTCTGGCATTATATGTCATAACCTGCTGTGCCTGTCTTCTTCTTTACTTTGTAAGGATATTTGAGTCCTATTTATATTCATTACTAGTACTATTCATTCAAGAGATATCTGCTTTTATCATAATTGAAACTTTGCCTTGTGTTTTAAGGAGTTCAAAAACATCGCGACAATGAGGTTGACATACATTGCTTCTTCTGTCTCCAACCCAAGTTATTTCACAATTCTTGTTCGCGGTGTTCCACATTCTCAAGATGAATCCTATAGTTCCTATGTGACCAAGTTCTTTACAAATTACTATGCATCAAGTTATTTATCTCACCAAATTTTGTACCGGTCTGGTGCTGTTAAAAAGATGTTGGTAAGAATCTGACACTCTTCTCTGTTTTTCTTTGGTGGAATCCTTTTCTCCCTCCCTCATTCAACATCCCAAATCTCCAATGTCTCATTTTCCTTGAACGTGGAGCTCTAGAGCTTGAGAATTATGTTATGTAACAAAGAGTGTATGTATGGAAGCATTTGAAAACATCACAGTTTCATTGGTTAGATAGACATGAATTGTAATCACTTTAAATTCTTTACTACACATATTATTGAAGGGCACCATTAGCTGTCAAGTCATTGTTGTAAAAAGCCCCATGACTCAAGTCATTCTTTTGACTAGTTGAAGGCAGTCATAGAAGATATGAATTTACGTCCTTTAGTTCTCCTTGGTAATACAATAAACTGTTTAAAAATATGGACTTGCAAGCTCCATGTACTTTTGTATTCATTTCTATCATTTTTTATATTTTTACTTTCTGTTGATTAATGTTTGGCACTATGTCATGCAGACTGATGCAGAACAATTGTACAAGTTGTTGAAATCATCAGCTAAAGATCAACAATGTGACTCAAGTTTATTTAGATGTTGCTTTTGTGGTACATCATCTTCTTTCAATATGCTATCTACTGATCCTGAAATTCAAAAAGGAACAAGTGATTTTGGTGGATCAGATTTGAGGAATAAGGTCATAGATATGCTTGTGATTTGTAGTTATTACTGATAATTTTTATGTGTAGAATGCAAAAACTTTCATGCACTCTAGGTTTAGTTTTTATTTGTCACCTCTCTCTTCCTCGTTTCATTTGGACTTCGATTGGAATCTATCTTTCATCACTACAAAAACCACTAATTCAAGTATTGCATGTGAAGTAATCACCATCAAAGCTCCACTCCTGTGGGTTTCTTTCTTCATTGGTGTTTTAATATTGCATACCGGCTTTTCGAATTGCTTCCCTCCACACAGTTTGAGCTGCAGGGTCAAAGATTTTCATTTTAGATAATAGCTTAGTTAGATAGGAAATTAGGAATTACTTCGTATAGAATAGTTGTATATTTAGTTTCTCCCTCTATCAAATAATTTTTGTTAAAATTTTGACACACTGTTGGGTTATGGAACCCGGGGGCCTAGGAGACTAGGTGAAAGAGTATCAAACGAGAGTCGAGAATGCTCAAGTTAGGAATCAAGTGAGATAACGAATATTAGTTCCAAGAGAACGTGTCTTTTCCCCTCTTCGAAGAGGGGCTTATATACAGATTACAAACGGGCCTTCCCGACCGTTGGTCCATAATCCAACGGGCTGGGCCCACAATGATCCGGTCGTTCGACCGGCAGCGCCAACCGTATGATTATCCCTAGAGTGGCTATACAAGATAGGTTACAAATAGGGTGGCTACAACTAATCTGACGGAGGCGTGGCAGGAGTCCAATCGCGGGCCCCATGATTTGACCAGTCATGCAGTTTTCCCATACGCCGTGGTCCCGGTCCAGCAGCACCTCAGGCAGAGGCCGAGTACGCGCGGGTTGGTCTCTGGAGACTTCCGATGAGGTGCCGGCCGACTACGATCCGAAGCTGAGCGCGCTCTCTCGGGGCCGAGTGTGGGTGTGTCCCGATGTGGCAGCTCCTCTGAGACCTTGCTTTCTTTCAATTTCGCCCAGCCGAGTAGGCCTGGTTTAATGTGGGCCATGCTGGGCCGCTATTCCTGTTGGGCCGGATACCCCCATTCCGGGGTATCCATCACACACCTTAAGTAACAAATTTGTTCATATAATAAGTTAATAACGAGAAAAATACTTAGCATAGCTCGCATATCTCTCATTAATGCATTAAATAATAAATATATACATACTATGGCACATTTATAGATGGAGGGAAACTAAGGAAAACTATCTGAATTTTTTTAGAATGGAGGAAAAATTTAATTTAACTTGGAATCATGTTTAGTTAGTTTTTCAATGGGATATTCTCAGTTATAGGATTCCCTTATTTTTTATTATATTAAGCAAAAGGCTAAGAGATTTTTGAATATCAACACTAGGGAATCTGGGATTTCAACCAAATTCAACTCTTTCTTCCCTTCTGCTTGCATAAGCTGCTCTTTATGTTCCCTGGAACACAAGTTGCCTGTGCATTTTTTTGGCAATCCTCAAAAACTTCGCCTGTACATTTACTAATGTTCTTTCCAGGCTGGAATTTTCCTTGTTTCATAAATATGCCATATTCTATCTGGTACCCATTTCAGAAGACCTGCATGATCTGGTCACATACTTCTTACAGGAATGTGCAGCAGCTTTAGTTTTTTTCAAGACTCGGTATGCAGCATTGGTTGCATCACAGGGTATTCAATCTCCAAACCCCATGTTATGGGTGACAGACTGTGCTCCAGAACCACAAGATATGTATTGGTCTAACATTTGTGTGCCATATAGGCTTCTTTGGATACGTAAAATAGCTATGCTTGTGGCCTCCGTGTGTTTTGTGATATTCTTCCTTGTGCCCGTCTCTCTAACACAAGGACTTGTTCACCTTGATAAGCTACAGAAGGCATTTCCATTTCTGAAAGGACCATTGAAGAGGTACATTTTCCCTTCGCGTAGGGTTTACTATTTAGTTTGCCCTTCCTCTGTTACACTAAATATATTTCTGTGACATTATAAATAAAGAAAGCATTCAATACCATTTCCCCATTTTGCCTTTCTTCTTTATCTATGTTTTGAAATGTTTTTGGATTTTCATTCCAACCAAATCAATCATTACAAACTCTCAACATAGAGAATGTACACATTGTTGTTAGAGAATAGAGCGAGTGACTCCTGGTATACGGAGTTACAGACCTGCAGAAAGCAAGACACAACCATAAAGGAAGGCATAAAATAAGGAAGACAGAAAAGCTAAAGAACGACAAATATTGAAAATATAGATAACTTACAAATCTAGAACTAAATGTTAAGAATCGGCTGTAGTGGGAAAACTGGAAGACTTGCAGCATCATAGGTGGTCTTTGTTATATCATACAGCTGTTTGGTCTTCTTTTTCTTCAATGGTAGATTTGGAGCGGATAGATGAAGAGAGCAAGGGGTGACCTGACCATCCCTTCTTTGCTATTTTTATTCTTAATTTGAGTAATTAAAATTAGTTCTAAGAATGGTTTTTAGTTAATGGCTGTTTTTGTACAGTGACTACTTTCTACATGATTCGAGAATATTCATGTTTTCTGATACGCCAGCTCAACCCATGCGAGTGAGGCAGTCCACTTGGGAAAGGAAATCCAATAAGGATAGCTCCTTTATTTATGTCTAGCAATCACATTGGTAGATTTATGGAATTGAAAGGCTCTTTTTTAGAAAAAAATATTTACCACAATATCTTTCCTATACTTATGTTACATTCGTTGAGAAGAGCTTTGAAAATGTTTGAATAAGAATTACTTAGTTTGCTTATTTTTTTCCTCAATTTTCATTGGTGATAGAGGACGTTAGTGGTTTGCATGTTAACAACTGGTGTTTTCATTTGCATAATTTTTTTTTCGTTTTCATTTGGCACTATGTCTACCATGACACCGTCCACTGAAAATGCACCAACCGCACCAGAAGCTCATCCGTGGGAGGCGGCTGTGATGCCCTCGCCCTACGTTTTGATCAACGTGTTTTTAGCTTCCATACAACCCAACCTTGTAGAAGAATATTCAGGCCTTCACTAGGAGATTGAGGAAATCTCCTGATTAGCCATCTATCCGCCACCCCACCAGGTTTCATGAACAACCACACCCTTTCATCCCCTCCATTCACTCTTCCTTACTAAACTCATCCTCATAGGCCATAGCAGCGTTCCCAATACCTCTACTCACCCCAACAGTGACTGTCTCATCTCTGGATTTGCCCAAGCTTGATTAATCTGTCCCGCATGGGTTGCTATTCATAGTCGAGGAATAATTTCTCTTTTTAAAATGTGCCACTGGAACACAGCTTACACGTGCTTGCTTTCATGATGGTTCCGTGGGTTTAAAAATTATAACCTGCTATGTTCTTGGCCACATTTTGTAGATCAAGGACAAGTCTATTTTGACCAATCCCACTTTGAGGACTTCACTGTGCAACTTTTCAACCCTCATTCACTTTGGCTCACCATGCAAATCATGGGCTCAACAGACCTGGTTTTAGTTGACGAGGGCAGTACGCATGATTTCATCCAACCCACACTCGTTGAACAACTTCAGTTGTTCGTCACTTCGGTTCCACTGTTTAGGGTCTAGATTGGTAATGGCTCCGTTGTCACGAGACAGAGCTCATTTGTGGGAACATTTTTGTGGTTGATTTATTGTTCTTCTTATTGAAGGGGTAGATAATTGAGGCACAGGAGTGTGTTGAATTAGCAAAGATATACTACTTCCATCCCATAATTATCTTCTTCAATGGGTCTGAAACGATTTTTAATAAAGTAGAACTTGTGTGGTTGTGTAGAGGAAAGATAAATAATATGGGCCTCACAGTCTTTTCCTTAAAAAGGAAGTGGAAGAAAATTTTGGGACACCCTATATACGAAGGTAGGAAGATAATTATGGGATGGAGCCAGGGAGGGAGTACTCCATTGCAAATATCTGAACAGTTGATGACTAAAGTAGCTATTATTTTCATGTTTGTGTGAAGTCCGAACTGCTTAATTTGGTTCTCTTTTTTACTTGTTACAGGAACTACATAAAACAGCTTGTTACCGGATATTTACCGAGTGTTGTACTTGTACTATTTTCATACTTGGTACCTCCATTAATGATGTTATTTTCGACAATGGAGGGCTCCATCTCTCGCAGTGGCAGGAAGAAGAGTGCATGTGTTAAAATAGTATACTTTATGATTTGGAATGTTTTTTTCGCCCAGACAATTTCCGGCTCTGTTATTGACGGATGGAGTGCTATTGATCATTTGGGTAAAAATCTGAACGACATACCAAACCTGCTCGCTACAGCAGTTCCAACGACAGTATATTTCCCTCTTAAAATAATTGCATTATGCCGAGATTACAAATTTATATCTTGTGTGTGTAAATATACGTATGTATGTACTGTGTGTGTGTAAATACACATATGTATGTACTGCCTGTGCGTGTGTCAATATTTCATTCCAAAATGTGGTTTCATATGTTTTATATACCTAAAACCTTAATGTGCAATATTTGAAGCTTAAAAGTGCATCGTAACGTGCAACTATTTAAAATCATTACATGGATTTTGATATTGATCAGGACTCAAAGAATCAATTTGTTACAAATTCTTGTTTCTTGATTTGAGATTTTTGTGTTTTTTATATAAAGCAAAATGTCCTTTTGCAATCTCATTTTTACCTTTTAATCATTTTGCACAAAGGACACCCAAAAAGTAAATTTTAGAGTTATACATAATCAAACTATTCAAATACTTGATCAATACACTATTGTGAAACCACTACTGTTAACCTTCTTTGCTTCCTATACTAACACTTTATATAATCCTTTAATTTCCTTCACTTCATTAAGGCAGCAATAGTCTGCTTTTCTAAACTTAGAACGCATTCTTGGATTCTCTATAATTATTTCAGCATTCCAATATTTCACAGGCTACGTTTTTCATCACCTATGTGTTGACATCGGGCTGGGCATCTTTATCCATCGAACTCTTGCAACCATTTGGTATTATCTGGAGCTTCTTCTATAGGCCTTTCCTGAGTAACAAGAATGATTCATGTTATAGAACTATTACTTTCCCCTACCATACTGAACTTCCAAGGATTCTCCTTTTTGGGCTTTTGGGGTTCACATGTTCCATATTGGCACCTCTAATTTTGCCTCCGTTGCTGATTTACTTTTCCTTCGCTTACCTTGTGTACCGTAATCAGGTACGTCGTACTTAGTTCATATTCTCTAAAAAGCAACACTTGCACAAGACCAGTGAGACCTAATCCACACTGAAAACTAATATTTTTGAGCTATAAGTCATTTCTCAAAATGCTCTGCTTTTACTAGTGAAGGTTTTTAGTCTGAAAGTATTAGACTTGAGAAGAATGTGATAGGTCCCACGCTGGATTGTGCTCTGTGAGACTTACCCTTGCAAGTTTTTGTGTTACTTTTCCTCACAAGTTTTTTTTTGTTACTTTCCTCATAAGTATTTGTATTCTACTGTCCATTGCTAATGGAGCTAAAAGAGGCATTACTGACAATGTTTTTGTTTCGGGACCATAGTACACTAAATATAAATGGAACATTAAACATTCCTTGCTTCTTACTTTCTGTGAATTTTTGAGCAGTAAATGCAGCAATGCATCTAGGGTCCAACAGAAACAGCCTCTCTGTTTTTAACAGGGGTAAGACTGTATACATTTTGACTTCCCATACCCTAGCAGTTTTTGTTTATTCCATGGTTAATAAAACACCAGTGGCTTCAAGTCTTTCTCTGCCCCATCATAAGCTCTGTGTTTTTAAATTT